GGTCTAGGTCAATGATTGTCCCTGAAGGGCAACCACTGACCTCAGCACCTGTGCAACGGGTGTGTAGGTGCAGTGTCGTCCAATTTGTGGCGCCCAGTGTTGATTGCACCTGCCCCCCGGAGCACCCACCCTCGCCCCTCGCCCCCCCCCCTCCCCCCCCCCGCTCGAACGCAGTGGCGAAATCGCGGGGCAACGCAACTTTATCTATGTAGGTTTATATGTATGCATGTACGTATGTATATGTGTGTATGCATGTATGTATGTATGTATGTATGTATGTATGTATGTATGTATGTATGTATGTATGTATGTATGTATGTATGCATGTATATATGTATGTACGTATGTATGTATGTATGTATGTATGTATGTATGTATGTATGTATGTATACATATATATATATATATGTATATATGCAGGTATCTATATATATATATATATACACATATATATACGTATATACACATTTATATATATATATATCCCTGGGGGGCAGGCCCGGGGCCCACAAACAGCTGCCCCGACCTCCCATGGGGGGACGGGGCGGCCGGGGAGGACAACCCACGGGACAAACCACGGGGCAACCACGAGACAACCCACGGGATATCCCACAGGACAACCCACGGGACAACCCACGACACACGCAAAGGACAATTACGGAACAACCCACGGCACAACCACTGGACAACCAACGGGACAACCCACGGGATAACCCGCGGGACAACCGCGGGTCATCCCAAGGGCCACTCCATGAGACAACCCGCGAGATGGCCCACGGGAAAACTGCTGGACGACCCACTGGACAACAATCCACAAGACAACACACAAGACAACGACGGGTCATCACATGGGACAGCCGCCGGACAACCACAGAACAACCAAACAACCGTGGGTCAACAAAGGCAAGACACCGCGCAACCAGAGGAGAATCCCACCAGACCTTTAGGGCCTGAGTGGTTTGGAGCGGTTCCTCTTCCAATTCCCTTCTGCCCCTCCGTGGAGAGTTTTACTTTTTCCCCAATTGATATACACCCCCACCCCCAGGCGGCCAGCAGCCAACCAGGAACAAAGAGGACGCTCCTGGACGCCCAAAGTAGGCCCAAGACGGCCCGAGAAACCCCCTCAAGGCACTCCACGACGCTTCAACACGCCTCTCCCGAGCGCTTCAAGAAACCCAAATCGTCAATTTTACGAGGGTTTTGGAGAGATGTTGGCCTTCCAGTCTTTTCGGCTGTCCGACGTTCCAGGCCGGCTCCATAGGCCCCCAAGAGCACCCCAAGACGGTCCAAGAGGGCCCCCAGACGGCCCCAGAGGCGCCCCAGAGAGCCCCAAGACGGCCCCAAGATGCGCCCAAGAGGGGGACCACGACTCCATAATTCGACCCTCCCGCTTGAAGAGTGCCCCAGGAGGCCCCCAGGAGCCCCCCAGAGGCCCCAGGAGGCCCCCGAGAGGCACCCAGGAGACCCAAACAAGGCCTCAAGAGGCCACAAAACAGCCCCAAGAAGGTCCCACAACGGTCTCAACATGGCTACCGAGAAGCTGCGAAACTGCCTTCACGAAGTCCCCGACAGGCCAACCACAAGATCCAAACCAACACCCATGAGGCCTTTGACCCACCACCTAGGGCACCCGCCGCCGGCCCGCCGTCCGCGTAGCACGCACCACTCTGTACTCAACAGCTTCAGTCTCCAAGACAACACCCTGTAGTCAACAGCCCCCGTCTTCAAGGCAACACCCTGTGCTCAACAAGCTCCCGCTGCAAGAGAGCACCCTTAAGGAATTCATTCAAATCCCGACCCGCCCGCCCGCCCGCCCGCCCGCCACCCGCCCGCCCGCCGCCCGCCCGGCCGCTCGCCCGCCTTCCGCGTAGCACGCGCTACCCTGCACTCAACAGCCTCCGCCTCCAAGACAACACCTAGCATTCAGCAGCCCCCAGGGCTCCCAGGACTGCCCGGGCCCGCTCCCAAACACGCCACGACACGCCAAGAGTGCCCTACAGATTGCCAAGACAGCCCCAAGAGGCCCCGGACACGCCGAAGATGGCCTCAGGACGGCCGACAACGCCGCCAAAACGTCCCAAGAGCGCCTCCAGAGGCCCCTCCAAATGGCCCCGCATTTTTGCGCTCTCGCATGTTCCGCCTCCCCACGGTCCCGGACGGCGTCAGAGGCCCTTCAGATCGCTCCAAGACGGCCGAAGAGGCTCTCAAGGAAAGACCAGAGACGGCCCAGGAGGCTCCCCAGATAATTCAAGAGGGCCTCGAGAGCGCCCCAAGAGAGCCCCAAGAGCGACCCAAGAGGGCCCGAAGAGCGCGACATTTCAAGGTCTCCGGCCTGAGAGGCTCCTAGGACGCCCCCGGAGGCCATCAGGAGGCTCCCAAGAAGCCCCGTGAGGCTCCCAAGAGGCCCCCCAGAAGCCCCAATAAGCCCCCAAGGCCCCCACAGGGAAGCCCCCTGCGGGCCCCCAATAGACCTTGGTAAATCGTATTTCCCAGAGCTTTCTGGGAACATGATTCCTTGGGCTTCCGCCCACCGCCCCAACCATGTTTCCAATAGGCTTGCCGACAAGGCCAAAAAGGGCCCCTCGGTACGCCCCCAGAGCCCCCCCTCTTAAGAGAACCGAACAAGTCATGCTCCCGGAAGTATTCCCGGAACATGATTCTCGGGTTGCCGCCCTCTCCCCAAACCATGTTCATAAACGCCTGCCAGGATAAAGAAAACGAGAGTCCCAAGCAGCGCTACCTGCCGCAACGCTCGGAAACGCGTCAGGCCCCGAAGCCTCCGGAGGCGTCCAACGACACCCCGACAAATCATGTTCCCAGGAAGTCTTACGGCCAGTGCCGCCGACGTTGAAGGAGGACGGTCCAGGACACCCAGAAATCTTCCAAACAGGCTTCCAAGAGGGCGCCGAGACAGCCCAGGGCCGCCCCCAGACGGCCCAAGAAAGGCCCAACACAGACGAGAAGGGCCGCAAGAGGCTCCCAAGAGGCTCCGAAACGAGGACATATCGTTCGAACACGCCCAAGATGGCCTCCGGACGGCCCACCAGGCTTCCAACACGGCCCAAAGGGACGCCAAAATCATTGCTTGTCCTTCGGTTTTTGATGGATTTCAGATACCCAATGTCGCCCCAACAGGCCCCCACGAGGGCGCCGAGACGGCCCAGGGACGCCCTGCCGCGGGCACGAGGCGGGGCCCGGGACGGGGCCCTCGCACCGGGGGGCCCGGGGGCCCTGCCGTGGCGCTGAAGGCCTTGTAAAGTCGCCCGAAGACGGCCCTGGCGTTTCCAGACAACGAAAACGACCAATGACCGCCCGAGATCACCCCAGAATTGGTCCCTGACTTTCCGAGAGGCCTCCAAGACGCCCCAAGAGGTCTCCAAGATGGCTCCTAAGGAGCCCCAGGAGGCACAACTAATTTGTCATCCTTTGGTTTTTGATCGATTTTCGAGTTCTCGCCTTCTGAGTTTCCTGACGCTCCACGACGGCCCGAGAGGCTTTAATTTCCGCTCCAAGGCATCCCCAGAGGCCTCGAAGACGGTCACAAGACAGCCCACGGGGGTTCCAAGACGGCGCGACGCCCAAGGCGGTCCGAGAGGGCCCCAGGACGGCCCCAAGATGGAGCCAAGAGGGTTGACACGAACCGAAAATCCGAGTCTTCCACCCCGAGAGGCTCTCAGGAGGCCCCGAGAAGCCCCTAACAGGTTCCAAGAGGCCCTCAAGAAGCCCCCCAGGGGGCCGACGAGTATCCAAGAGGCCTCCCACGAAGGCCCCAAGAGGCAAAAATCCATGTCATGCCATATGTTTTTGATTGATGTTCGAGTTTTCAGCCTCTTGGCGTCCTGACGCTCCAAGACGGCCCAAAAGGCCTCCAAGACCAATCCAAGATGGCCCAAGAGGCCTCCAACAGGGCCCAAGACAGCCCGAGAGGGCACCACTGCTTCCCCAAGGGGGGCCCAAGAGGGGTAAGACGAACCTCAAATCCGAGCCTTCCACCCCGAGAGGCTCTCAGGAAGCCCCGGAGGCCCCCAAAATGGGACCCAAGTGGCCCTCAAGAAGCTCCCCAGAAGGCCGAAGAGGTTCCAAGAAACATTGTTTTCCCATCGGCTATTGATGGATTTTAGAGTTCCCAGCCTTTTGGCATCCCGACGCTCCAAGACGGCCCAAGTGGCCCCCACGGCCGATCCAAGATAGCCGAAGAGGCCTCCAAGAAGGCCCCAAGACGGCCCACGAGGGCCCCAAGACGGTGCCCGAGGCGCCCAAGACGGCCCGAGAGGGCCCCAAGAGAGCCCCAAGAAGGGGAAAGCGAACCCAACAGCAGAGCTTTCCGCCCTAAGAGGCCCACAGGAGGCCCCAAGAGTCCCCAACTGGTCCGACGAGGCCCCCCACAGCCCCCCACCAGGCCCCAAAAGGCTCACAAGAGACGTTCACGGGGCCCCGAGATAGCCGAACAGTGCTCTCGATGCATCAAAATTGCTTCAAGGAGGCCCCAGGAGGCTTCCGGATTGCCCCAATGTTGCCTCAAGCCTGGCCTCCACGCAGCCACGACAGCCAATTGACTGCTTCAGATTGCAGAACATCACTTTCAGACTGCCCGGAGAACCCTGACGATGCCCCCAAGGGACCCCAAGAAGCCCCAAGATGCCCCCCCTGAGAAGCACCCAAGAAGTGCCTCCAACAGCCAATTGAGGAAGCACGGAGAACCCCCCAGAAGCCCTTCAGATGCCCCCACGAAGACCCAAGAGGTTCCCAAGCGGCCCTCATGAGGGACGACTATGTCACGCGCCTCTGCTTGATAGCGCTGTCCAAGATCTTCCAGCGCGCCCCCAGCCTGGGCTAGAACCTGAGCGCGCGCGAAGCGCGCGCGCGAAGCGTGCGCGATGGTTCTAGTGTATATATATGTGTGTGTATGTTTATGTATGTATGTATATAGATATATAAGATATGCACCCAGTGAGAGAGACGTATATAAAGAGAGAGAGAGAGAGAAACAAAAAGGTGGTACAGAGAGAACCAGAGAGATACAAGAGAGATACAGGAACTGGCGGATCACCGACGCGGTGCGCCGATGCCTGAACACAGACTAACTGGCCATGCAGACCAGAGGCGACAAAGTAAGCTCGCGGATGTCTGTAGATTCTGCCGCACAAGACGATGGAAGGATCTCTCCCACAACCCGCGGTCCCCTCTCGGGACATCCAGGCCTCGTGGTCCAGGCATTCCCAGACCCCCTCGCGTCGCCAAACATCGCGACGTTCAGCTTTTCTCCAGAAGTGTGCTTGCACTTGGTCGATCGTACTTGTCATCCAAAGAACTAGACCTGCGCGTCGGTCCCGCCAGCTTGTCTATCGCCCGTCGCGTCCCGTCGCTGCCGCCGCCGCCGAATGGGCCTGTGCGTCGGTCTGGCCTGCTTGTCGTTGCCGGTCGCCGCCCGTCGCCGCCGCCCGCTAGCTTTGTTTTCCATTGCTTTGCGTTGCATTGCATAGTTTTGCATTTCTTCTCCTTGCTTTGCGTTGCTTTGTATTGCGGTGCATTTATTGATATCGCATTGCATTGCTTTGCTTTGCTTCGAACAGCTTTGCATTCATTCATTTGCATCGCACTGCGTCGCTTTGCCCTGTTCCCAGCCATCCTGTGGTGTTGGGTCCTCGTTTTGAAGAGACAGCGCCCCGCGTCTCTCCCTCCCTCCCTCCCTCCCTCCTCCCATTCCTACTTCTGCCCACCGCATGTCTCTGTTTCGGCACTGTTTCGGCAAACCGCTCACACGTTTCGTGGCCTCATGGGGAGCCCCATCGAAGGCCCCAGTGGCAGCGTCCGCATGCAGTTCCACCCTGAATTTCGGTGCACCCCTCACACGTTTCGTGGCCTCATCAGGAGCTCCACCGAAGGCTCCAGTGGCAGCGCTCGCATGCAGTTCCACCTCTGTTTCGGTGCATCCCTGACACGTTTCGTGGCCCCTGGGGGGTTCTCGGGAGTCATGGGGGGTCTTTGGGGGGTGCTGAAAAATCCTGGGGGGTCCTGGGGGTCTCGGGGGGTCTTGGGCCTGGGGGGGCCCTGGGAAGTCCTGGGGGGTCCTGGGGGGTCCTAGGGTGCTGCCTGTGGGGTCCTGGGGTCCTGCCTGTGGGGTCCTGGGGCTGTCCTGGGAGGTCCTGGGGTGTCTTGGGGTGTTCTGGGGTGTCCTGGGGTGTCCTAGGGTGTCCTAGGGTGTCCTGGGGGGTCTGGGGGGCCCTGGGCGGTCCTGCCCAATGGCAGCGCCCGCATGCGGTTCCACCCTCCATTTCGGCTAACCGCTCACACGTTTCGTGGTCCCACGGGGAGCTCCACCGAAGGACCAATACCAGCGCCCGCAGGCAATTCCACCTTCCATTTCGGTGCACCCATCGCACGTTTCGCGGCCCCACACGGCGCTCCACAAAAGGTCCCAATCGTAGCACCCACATGCAAATTCACCTCCGTGTCGGCACACCCTTCACACGTTACGTGGCCCCATAGGGGGCCCAACTGATGGCCCCAATGGCAGCGCCCGCATGAAGTTCTCCTGCGATTTCGGCAATCCCCGAATTTCGGCGCATCCTTCACACGCGTCGAGGTCCCATATGGCGCTCCAACGAATGCCCCAGTGGCAGCGCCCGCATGCAGATCCACCCCCCCTTTCGGTGCACCCCTCACACGTTTAGTGGGCCCATAGGGAGCTCCACCGAAGGCCCGAATGGCAGCGCCCGCATGCAGCTCCACCTATACGTCGGCACAGCCTCTTAACACGCTTCGTGGCCCCATAGGGCTCTCCACCGAAGGCCCCAGTGGCGGCGCCCGCATGCAGTTCCACCCTTCATTTCGGTGCACCCCTCACACGTTTCGTGGTCCCATGGGGGAGCTCCACCGAACGCCTCAATTGTAACGCCCGCGTGCAATTCCACCCTCCGTTTCGGCAAACCGCTCACACGCTTCGTTGCCCCATAGGGCTCTCTACCGAAGGCCCTCGTGGCGGCGCCCGCATGCAATTCCACCCTTCATGTCGGTGCACCCCTCACACGTTTCGTGGTCCCATGGGGGAGCTCCACCGAACGCCTCAATTGTAACGCCCGCGTGCAATTCCACCCTCCGTTTCGGCAAACCGCTCACACGCTTCGTTGCCCCATAGGGCTCTCTACCGAAGGCCCCAGTGGCGGCGCCCGCATGCAGTTCCACCCTTCATTTCGGTGCACCCCTCACACGTTTCGTGGTCCCATGGGGGAGCTCCACCGAACGCCTCAGTTGTAGCGCCCGCATGCGGTTCCACCCTCCATTTCGGCAAACCTCACACGTTTCGTGGTCCCATATGGCGCTCCACCGACGGCCCCACTGGCAACGCCCGCATGCAGTTCCACCATTCATGTCGGTGTACTCCTCACACGTTTCGTGGCCCCATAGGAACGCCACCGAAGGCTCCAATGACAGCGCCCGCATGGCGGCCCCGCCACATTCCAGCACACCCTTCACCCGCTTCGCGGCCCCATAAAGAGATTCACCGGCACCGATACTCACAACGACGGTACTCACAGCTGCATATGGTTGGGTCCATCGCCAGGCGAATCTTGCTTTGCTACGCGTTGTAATTTTGCATTTCGTTGCGTTGCCTTGTAGTGCGTTGCTATGCGCTGCCATGCGTTGTTTGTGCATTACGTTGTGTTTCCTTGCGTTGTTCTGTATTGCGTTGCATCGCTTCGCGTTGCTGTGCGCTGCTCTGCAAACAATATTATGCGCGCTCGCTCGCTTATTACGATCATCAGTTTTCAAACATCCCTTACAAAACGATCGGGCGAAGTGCGCACGCGCGCGCCGTCGCGCGCGCATGTTGGAATCTTTCAGGAATCTTCATTTTCGCAAGGGTCCCTCAATTGAGTCCCACGACAACGTTTTTTACGCGGGTTTTCAAACACAAAACTTGTGCGCGCGCGTCTTTGCGAATTCCGCCTGTCGGCATTGGCGGACAAGGACGTCGGTCAGGCACCGTTCTGGCGCTTGTGTTAGACGTCGGCTACAGTCACAGGAATGCCTTCGAGATGCGCAAGCCGCACACCACCTTAGTACCAGGGGCCATCGCGGGCGCTCTCCTTTGTGGTCGGCCATCTCCAGGCTTTGGCCCGAACCCCCCTCAGCGGCGTACAATCTGGCCGACGTTCCAAGTGAATGCATGGTTTTGGCACCTTCCGCCTGGCTGTCTGGCCCCACCTGCGGGTCCGACCTTTCCGCCCTCCCCACCCTCGCTGGCACACGCTCAGCGGCTGGTTCTTCATATTTGCATCCCTCGCTGGCACATGTTCAGCGTTGCTTATTTTCTGCTGCTGGCACATGCTCAGCTGCTCCTTCTTGGCTGGCACTTGTGCTGCGCCGTTAAGTATCCGCCTTCCCGTGCGCTGTGTCCCAGCCTCGTTCACACCGCCCTCTGGACTTTTCCTTGCGGGCCGCGAATCAAAAAAGTTGTTGCGAATTCTTTTGGATCCGTTTTTTTGTTGTTGGAGTAGAAAGCGTTGTTTTACCATGCTGCTGAGCGGGCTTCGCGCGCGCGTGTCGGAATCGTTCGAACGCCCTTGCGCGCGCGCTGTCGCAAGAACCCTTTTGCAAACAATGAGAAGAAGTGGTGCGCACGCGCGTGTCGTCGCGCGAGCATGCCGAAATCCTTCAAACACTCTGGGTTTCGCGAAGATTTCAAAACCGAGTGCCCCGAACACATCTGAATTCATATGGTTTCGCAACAACAACTGTCAAACAAGCCTGCGCTCGCAGTCGTGCAAATCCTTAAACCAACCGCAGTTTTCTTCCGATGTATATGTGCATATAGATGTCACCGATATGACCACCCTACGGGTGATGAGGAGGTTGGGGGGGAAAGGTGGAGGCGGTCGATTTGCGATGGCTGTGCTCTTTGGTGGTTGCTTCGCGTTTCTATTGTCGCGCACATCTGTCAATCTATCTACCGACCTACTTATCTCATTACCTATGAGGTCTATCTGTCTATATGTCTATCTATACGTCTATGTCTACCTGTCTGTCAATATGTCTATGTGTCTATCGGTCTATCTATCGAGCTACCTGTCCATCTTTCGAGCTATCTATCTATCTATCTAACTATCCGCCTACCTATTTAACTATCTATCTCCCTATCTATCCATCTATGGTGGTGAGTGGTCGTGGTGGTGGTGGTGGTGATGGCGGTGGCGGCGATGATGGTGACGCCGCGCCAGTCCCCCAGTGCCGCCGCTGCGCCGCATCGACTCGACTCAGAGCTGGCACTTCGCGAAGCATCGGCCCACACAGGCCTGGCAGAGCCTGGGCCTATACCTCCGTCTTTGTCGGCGAGCTCGGTCGCACGGAAGCTGGCGCTTGCCCGTGCTCGAGCGCTGGCGGGCGCAGCTGCCACCCGCGCGAAAAGAGAAGCTCTATCGGGACACCTCTCTTGTCAACCATCGGGAGAACCATCGGGGCAATCTACGTACCTATACGACCACCCTTCGGGTGATAAGGAGGTTCGGGCGGGGTGGAGGAACCAACGTCTCACTCGATCGGTCTCACTATCGATCTCACAATCGATCTCACTATCGGTCTCGCTCGATCGATCTCACTCAATCGATCTCATAATCGATCTCACTCGATCTATTTCATTCGATCGAACTCACAATCGATCTGACTATCGATCTGACTATCGATCCCACAATCGATCCCACTATCGATCTCACTATCGATCTCACAATCGATCTCACATTCGCTCTCACTATCGATCTCACTATCGATATCACAATCGATCTCGCAATCACTGTCATCATCATCAACATCATCGTCATCAACGCCATCAACATCATCATCAACATCGGGACACCACCATCAGCATCATCACCTCATCACCGTCATCATCAACATCATCATCACCATCGTCATCATCGGGACACCGTCATCGTCACCATCAGCATCATCAACATCATCATCAGCGGGACACCATCATCATCATCGGAGCACCACCATCATCATCATCATCTCACCATCATCATCATCATCAACATGAACAACATCATCAACACCATCAGCATCGGGACAACATCATCATCAACAACATCATCATCATCAACATCATCATCATCAGGACACCATCCGCATCGTCACCATCATTATCATCATCATCATCATCATCA